ACCGCACGCAGGGGCCGGCCCCGAGGACACATGCGGCGGCCTCTGCCGCCTCGCCCCTGACCCTCTGGCCTGTTCTCCATGTTGCATTTCTCGTCAGTTTCTCGGACGGTGTAGCTGCCGCTGCCACCAGAGCCGGTGGGGTATCGCGCTGCTCATTCATCCAGAGTACTTTCTTTTCCATTTCCACCCCTCCCTTCCCATTTCCTTCTGCCTTTCCCCGCCAGCTTTGCATCCATCTCCCCGACCCCGTCACCCCCTCCTGCTTCCATCCACCGGGGCTATGGCCGCAGAAGAGGTATTGCAGACGGTGGACCATTATAAGACTGAGATAGAGAGGCTGACCAAGGAGCTCACGGAGACCACCCACGAGAAGATCCAGGCTGCCGAGTATGGGCTGGTGGTGCTGGAGGAGAAGCTGACCCTCAAACAGCAGTATGACGAGCTGGAGGCTGAGTACGACAGCCTCAAACAGGAGCTGGAGCAGCTCAAAGAGGTGAGTTGCCTGTCACCTCTCCCCTTCCTGGCCCGCACTCCCCCCACCCGCAAGGCCCACTCATCATGATCAAGAAGTCATGAAGGAGGTGATTGAAAGGGCTGTTTCTTCTTCTAGGGCCCTTTGTTGATAAGAGAAGATTGAAAGATTCCATTGTTTTCTCCCCCAAGAGAAAAATTGCCAAAGAAATGAATATATAAGCTGGAATTTGGGAGGCAATGGCTGTTTGGCCTGCGGGGGAGGGAGATTCGTAAGAGTCTTCAAGTCTCAGCCCTCTAAGGCGACATTCAAGTGGGTTGGAATGTATAAATCAAACTTCTCAAAACCGCTGTTATCTCAAACCCAGGTTTCAGCGACAATTTCATAGTCCACAGAAGTGATGAGGTTTGTGCCTGAGGACCCACAATTTCAGGATGTAGACTGTATGGTACCTCAGCTTTCCTCTAGATGTAACCGCTCCTTGGTGAGAGAGGGAACTCCGCACCAATCCCATTTGACAAAGGCTAGGCAGTCTTCATTCTGCTTGGCTTTAGTCATTCTTGTCATTGGGCTGCAGGAGAAAAACAACTTTGCTGGGTGATCCCATTGCCTTGATTTCACCTCGGAGGAGGCTGGGCCATGCCCAAGTCTTATGAGGTCACCCTGACTAGAAAAAATTGAACTCACCTACAAATAGTCTGAAAGAGTGGTGTATATGAAATACGTGGGTAGTGTTGCATTTCAAATGAGGCTCTTCTCTGGTTGAAATGATATATTTATAAAACCAGAATATCATAAATGGGTGATGTATAATGTCTGTCTTCAGTTTTTTTGTATTTGGCCTCTTTTAAAGCCTGTCGGATGTATGGGAGAAAACAATGAACGTGCTTTGATTTCCTATCAAGCACTCTTAAGAACATACATATTGTTTAAGTAACTCGGTCTATTTTACCTGATTCTTGAGGCACTATGGGTAGCAAGTAGCCGCTTATAAATTTAAATGTAATATACACTCCTTTTCTATGCGTCAAGTCCTTATTTTTAGGTGCATATTGACATTTAAATGTTAATTATTGTTTGGCATATAATATCACAAATCTATTTCTTATGAGTTTGGTTTTTCTTGGGAGGGGTCTTATTTTATGCTGTTACAGTTAAAAAAATGTGATTTATGACATAATGAATCAACTTGCCTTCCAATTTAGTATGTAATATGGTAAGCATTTATACTTGTAGATATGTCTTATTTTATTTGGATGCCTGTCTACCAAAAAATAAATGTACCACCTATGATTAAAAATCCCAGCTAGGATTCTAATTTTTGTGTGTGTCAGGCTGTACATTTCTAGTTCATGTTTTACTTACCATGTACCTGTCTGGTCTTAACAACAGCTGGAGTTGTTTATATTTTCCAACTTAGATTAGGCTGACATATTTAAATGCAGTGATGCTAAACCTCATGAAGTGAGGAAGCAGGATGATGACTGTAATTCTCAGAGATGTTTTGATGCTGTCTATACCTATCAACACTGCTTTGCCAAGACAGGGAAGTGCAAACCAGAAAGTGGTAAGCCATCACCTTCTTGATAAAGGAGATGGACTTAATTTAATGAAATGTACCTGTTACTGACTTTCCTGCTTGATTTAAACAATCCTTCTAGGGATATTTCTGTCATTGCACTTACCTTGCATAGCAAACCTTAATGCAATTGTGTTTTGCCTTTGCTACACTGTGAGCTTTGCATCCAAAGTCTTTAACACAAAAGCTAGCACATGGTGGGCATGAAATATTTTATGAAAGAATCAGTTTGTACCAGAAGAAGGCACACTTTTGTCAAGCGTTCAGTAGTCAATATTGGTTAGTGTTAGAGAAATACTAAGAAAATTAGGATGTGTAGGAAGTGACAGATGTTAATAAAACTACCTGTATTAATTTCACCAGCAGTAATTAGAAAAATGTGAAAAAAATGTTTTTTAGGAATAATGTAACTGCGGTTTCTTAATACAGAATGATGCAAATACCAGCTAAAATTTCTTCTATAAATATTTTAATGTGTATTTTGTTCTGTATAGCAGGAGGTTAATAAAAATTTATCAGCATTATTTTTACTAAATGATTATTTTAATATATTTATTTTCAGTTGCATTTAGCATAAGTGAAATTCAAGATTCCTAAAAAAACTGGTTTATACAGTTATATAAAAATGTATTTTAGGTAATAATTATTATAGTTGATTATTTGATAGTGAGGCCTATTATTTTTATTATTTTATTTAAAAACATGGAATATACTTTAGTTGGAAATATAACTTAAATTAGTTAAATCGATTTCAAGTAATATTTCTTGTATGAAAAGTAAATCCAAAATAATTGTGCAAACTGAGGTGTTCCAACACTAATATTATATAGAAGTCAGTTTTGAAAAATATATTTTGTGAGTGTTTTGATTTTTCAAAAGGAAGTTTTGCTCATTATCAGGTGTATATAGTAAATGATGTTGCATTGTATCTATAAAGCCAAGCATAAAATAAATCTGGCTTATTTCTGGGATCTTTGAACAAATATGATTTATTTAAAAATAATTGAACCAGTTTATGGGAATGTCAACAGAAAACTACTGTATTAAGTCCAAGTTGGACATTAGTAATTTGCAGTGTAGCAACATGGCTCAGTCTTTGCAGGTCATTTTGTTTTCCAGAGTCAGTACCCACCAATGTTGCTACCTTCCTTCCCAGGCTAGGTACTGCTGTGACAATAATGCAAGTGGGCAGTGTTGCCTGAAGATGTGCAAAATCAAGAAGATGAAATTCATTAAATTTTTTTCCTAGTTATTTCTTCTCTTAACTCAATTGTTTTTTGACCTGGCCTGATGTTGTTTAGTGCTCTGCATGGACTACTGTAATTCAGCTCACAAAAGAACACACTTGAAAGAAAAACACTAAGGATTTGAAAAAAGGATGACTTCTGACATCATCAGAATGTTCTCCTTTTCCTGATTCTTTGGGCAGCTGGACAGAGCAGTATGTCCACTGGAATACTTGAGTCTAGTTTTGTGATTTCACAAATAACACTTGCTCTTCAGTGACCTGAGTGAGGGTCACCCACATCCAGTTATGCTCAGGGCCTGGCTGATTATATGTTTGGGATGTACGTAAATCAGCACTGTGAGCCTGTCACCCAGGCCAGAATAGTGTTTGAAGAAGAGTCATAGCTCCAAAATAACCTGAAAACTAAAAATATACATATATAAAAATACCCTAGATCTGAAACTTAAGAGTTTTTTTGAACTTAAAAATGGTTGAAATTTAAAATGTTGTAAAGTTGAAAAAGAGCCCCTTTAGAAAGGAATGATTCAGCATTACTGGTGGCATTTTAAAAAGGAAATGTATCTGTGAGACAGCTTTAGAAAAGTTTTGCAGCTTGGATACCGTAAACTATGCACTAATGAGCTTCAACCCATTTTCTTGCTCATTTTGTCAACCCTGACACCAAGGATAGTTACCAGCTGCTGAAGAAGCACTTTCTGGACATTGGGCAGCTTTTCCTTTTGTAGCCAACTCTATGCTTTTTCAGGGTTATAGTTAAATCATTCAACACAAAAATACGTACTTATACAGTTTTAGAGCCTGTCACATTGGTGACCTGATGAATGCCATTTAATTACCTAGATTCATCTTTAAGCAGAATCGTTTTCCCTTCAGATGCTTAGAAAGATTGTTAGTTTCTTTTACATCTTTAAGTTCTAAATCACGAAATCATATGGCAAGAAAAACCCCAGATTTCTTTTCCAATCTATAAATAAACATAAAGAGAAAGTTAATACTTAATTGACCTGAACTATGATTTTTAACTTCTCTCATTGTTTTTATTATTTTATTTTATTTTATTTTATTTTTGAGATGGAGTCTCGCACTTTCACCCAGGCTGGAGTGCAGTGGCACAATCTCGGCTCACTGCAAGCTCCACCTCCCGGGTTCACACCATTCTCCTGCCTCAGCCTCCCAAGCAGCTGGGACTATAGGCGCCCGCCACCACGCCCAGCTAATTTTTTGTATTTTAAGTAGAGATGGGGTTTCACTGTGTTAGCCAGGATGGTCTCGATGTTTTTAAAGAAAATATATTTACATTTATCATCAAATTAATCTTAAAATCTAAAATACATTAAGATATGCTTTTGGAAACTGTTACAAACAACCTCAACAAACAAACATCATCGCTTTCAATCACATCTCTTTTTTTCTGGACCCAGTTGCTCTAACTTGCACTACCCCTTCTTTTTTTTTTTTTTTTCTTTGAGATGGAGTTTCACTCTTGTTGCCCAGGCTAGAGTGCAATGGTGTGATATCGGCTCACTGCAACTTCTACCTCCCAGGTTCAAGTGATTCTCCTGCTTCAGCCTCCTGAGTAGCTGGGATTACAGGCATGTGCCACTACACCTGGCCAATTTTGTATTTTTAGTAGAGACGGGGTTTCTCCATGTTGGTTGGGTTGATCTTGAACTCCCGACCTCAGGTGATCCACCTGCCTCAGCCTCTCAAAGTGCTGGGATTACAGGCAACTGTGCCTGTCCCGTTCTTTTTATTTCAAATCAAGATTTCGTCTCTGGCAAAGTTATTTCTCAGATATAACTTAGCAAGAATTTATCATCTTTTATCACATTCCCCATGTTTATGTGAGTATGTATGACAGCAATGGCTTGAAGATTTCTTCAGAACTTTTTGCTTGCAAATATTTTGCCCTATCATCCCCTTAAATATACTTGTACTCATGGATATTGCTTTCCAAATTTGAAAATAAGGTAATTACTTGCATGTTGAAATATACATAAAGGACTTGCCCACACATAAGATTCCACCTGTAATTATGGCTTTGAGGAGAGGAGGGCATGAAGGGCTTCATAGTCTTAGTATTAAATAATTCATTATGCTAAAGGAGAATGCATGTAAAGTCAAGTGGCAGGAGATGCAATTGGGAAAGGGCCATGGCCACATTTTGTCTTTGTCTTGGGGATGTGGAGCCAT